CAAACAGCATGACATCTATTGTCTGGCTTTCAGAGCATTTATCTTGGAATATTAACTGTGAAAATATGTATCATGTGAAGTATTTGAATTCTAATACAAAGGAAGATCGATGCTAGAGTTAACAGCGTTTCTAAATTATTCAATTCCTTGTGAATACATATTTAACCAGATCTTGGATTTAATCTGAATATGATTTAGGAAAACCTTATTATGTGTAAAAGTCTATAACATACAAAGTGGTTACTTGAAAGTTTGATAAAAAGAAATAATCATACCGACAAGGCTGCTTTTCCGCTCAGGAATACTAGGCACGTGCATAGGCAGCAAAAAAATGGAGGGTGAAAAAGAGAAAAAAAATGTAAGTTGCAGTCAACGTATCACCACCTAGCGAATCGTGATAGAAACTTCTGCCCTCAAAAGAGTAAAGACTGAAATGAGATCTACTATGGGAAATGAAAAGCTTATCGGTTTGATGTTGCTAAACACTCAAAATGATAATTGCAATGGAAATTGATTACAATGAAGTTATTAATAATTTTCTCAAAAAAAGATTCGTTTTTCGAAGAAAATCTTCGTTGTAAAGGGTGTTTTTTTTCCAGGGATAGAAGTTTAAGATGGCATTACTTTCCAAGATGGCGACCGATTTAACAGCTGTCAAGTGATTTATTCTCAGTTTGGTTTGGCAATTCATCAAAACGATCATCAAGCAAGGCGTAGATTCGTCGAATAGGCCCAAAACGAGATGGCCGTTGTTCCCGATTTTCATAAGCGAATTTCGTTTAACGATGAAGCGCACTTCTGGTTGAATGGCTACGTCAACAAACAAAACTGCTGCATTTGGAGTGAAGCTAATCCACAAGTGTATGTCGAAACACCGTTACATCCAGAAAAACTGACTGTTTGGTGCGCTTTATGGGCTGGTGGAATCCTTCGTCAAAAATGATGAAGGCCACAACGTTACAGTCAATGGTGATCGATATAGAGCCGTGATTACTAACTTTTTAATTCCTGAATTGAACAATCATGATGTCTAGGAGCTGTGGTTCCAACAAGACGGCGCAACATGTCACACAGCTCGTGCCACAATCGATTGATTGAAAGACACGTTGGGTGACCGCCTAATTTCACGTTTTGGACCTGTGAATTGGCCTCCAAGATCTTGTAATTTAACACCGCTAGACTATTTTCTGTGGGGCTATGTCAAGTCATTGGTCTATGCGGATAAGCCACAAACGCTTGACCATTTGGAAGACAGCATTCGCCGTGTTATTGCCGATATACGGCCACAAATGTTGGAAAAAGTCATCGAAAATTGGACGTCCAGATTGGACTACATCCGAGCCAGCCGTGGCAGTCATATGCCAGAAATCAAATTTAGAATGTAATGCCACAAGATTATCTTTCGAATAAACAAAATTCATGTCAATCGAATAATACATCGTTGTTTTATTGCAATTTAAAGTTCTATACCTCTAACAAAACACCCTTTACATGTACAATGACAGTAATTCAACAAAGAATAAGGATGTTAAAAGTAAAAGATAATAAAGCGATAAGCGATAAAGATGATGATAATTAATGAGTTGAAAACAGTTCATACAAAAAAGAAATACTGTAATTGCAAGCGATTTCATTAATTTACCATACTAATTTACAAAAGAGTGGGTGGCCCGTGATGCCATAAAGTAAGAAATGCACAAGAATGACCATACCATTCCAATATTATTTCCTTACGACTATCAGTTCTTAGATGGTGGATAATGGAATGACTATTCAAACAGTAAAAAAAGGAAAGGGAAAGGAGTAAGAAAGTTAAGGGAAAATCTCTCTCGGAACAAAATAGGCAAAGTAAGAACTGAGGGAGGAAGGGAGTGCTCTGGAAATAAAGGGTTGGGTGAGTGAGTGAGTGAGTGAGTGTAAGGTTTTAAGACGCAAGAGCCAAATTTGGCCATACTGCGCCAAACATTTGTTAAAAAACTTAAAATAATTTATAAAATAAGTAAAATTAATGACAATACAGTTTAAAAAATTAAAATTTCAAAGCCCACAAAACCGTTTTCAAGTAATTAAAGAAAACAAAATTTGGTGGGGAGTTCCCCCACCAAGTCAGACCATATCTTAAAATAAAAAACATTGAAAAAGACGAATGGAACAAGTTAGTTTAATCGGGACCACCGAAGAGAGGTACCACCAGCCGATTGACAGGAGCGGCATACCTCCTGCCACCCGTCTACAGTGAAGTGTGAGCCAAAAGCAACGCAGAGGTATCCCCAGGCCTCCATTCTGCTCCTTACGGGAGAAGCGTGTGCCAAAGTTAACGCAAAGGATCTCCAGAACACCATTTTTCTCCTTACGGGACGCCGCACACGGCAAACATGTGGGTCAGAAAACCAACGGTGATAATCGAACCCAAATAAAGCAACATAATGAAAATATTTAAAGAAATCTAAGAAAAGGAAACTTAACTAACGCAAGTTAACGGAAACGGAAATTTTTTCACTAGAAAAAACAAAATTTGAATGAAGTTCATTTTGTAATATAGGTCTGTGGTCTGGACGGTAAAAGAAGGAAAGGAGAAATGGGATGACAAGAAGAGGGTCGAAAATAGAGAGAAGGATCACTAGGGTACCCCGGGTTCGTGAAGCTCGTGTTTACCAAAGATAGTATACGCCTTGTAAAAATAGAAAAAGATCACTAGGGTACCTCGGGATTGTGACACCCGTACTCACCTAAAGAAGATGAGCCCCCTGAGGGGAATAAAGGGTTGGTAGTTATTTAAGTGTCTAGGGGTGCCGTGTAGTTTAAAAACAGCTCTGCGTACAGATTGCATTGCCATAGAAAGGGAAATCTCTGTCGATAAGAGAAGTTGTGTCATATGTCTAATTTGGAGATCATTATCTTATTGCTACAAGAACATGTCTGTTTAGTAACTAGTTTTTAATTGAATGTCCTTGCTATTGTTGTTGCAAAACCCCGAAAACCAGAAGAACTGTATTAGGTTTATTATGTTATTTATAAGTTCTCGATATTAACTCGAAGAAAATCCGGAACCATAAGTGGATTTGTAACCGGTTTTTTTCAAATGTAACAAATATTTAAGCGACTGTCGTTGAGTAGGTGAGTTAATGGTTAAGCGTTAAATGTTAAGCTGAACTCCAAGTGTTAGTAGACAAAGACTGGTGGTCGCGCATCTCAAGATTAATATTCGACGGAGATTCCATCACTAAGTGGTTAAGTAACAATCCTTGGAGCTGACCGTGCTATCGGGCTTCAAGAAGGATAATACAAGGAGCTTTACTCCAGATAAGTACACTCCATAATTTACTTATCTGATTTCGGGTAAGGATTTCATATTGCTCCCACAGTTAAAATATAAAAATAAATTTTGTTAAGCGCTAAAGGTTAAATAAAATTGGCTATTTTATGATCATGTCTGCTTCTTCTTCGAACCCTCTCACACCCGCGACTTTGGGGCCGCTGCAGATTAAAAGAAGATCCTGTCGGCCAAACCTCAATTAATGCTGTATTTGGGTTAGGCCTCAGTAATGCAGTATTGGCTTATATTGGGAAACACAAGCTTTGTTCGAGTAAATCTCTCTTCCTCAAAAGACTAAGATGTCCACTTAAAAGTGAATTAGAATGTATTATTTCTTTTTGCTGCATTGAATCGCCAGGGAATCTTTTGGGCAAATATCCTGATACCTTTAGTGTACTAATGCGGTGCTCTAGTTGGCAAGCCTTGCTTATATTTAATTTTGGAAAACAATTCCATAAACCTCAAAAGGGCTGTATTAATTTGACTGATTTTTATTAATGAGGCACTACGAATGAATATGAGCGCTGTTTGCAACAGATATCTTATTTTAGACAAGAGTTGAATGAGGATGATAGCATCTGAGCTGGAACTAGTGGCATAACGGAGGACATTTGCTCCCCCTGCTAAGTCAGGTTTTAAGCCCCGCTTCAAAGTCAGGTTTGGTCCCCAAAGTTTGATTTTACATAAGGTAGGTACTTGGCGGCAGTCAGGCTTAGGGCCCCCAATAACCCTTGCTTCCCCCTCCCTCGCGATGTGGGGGGTGTACGTTACGTGGAATCCTACCCTCCAAGCTTTCATACCAAGTCAATGGGAGGATTTTTGAACTTGATCTAATCACTAAACATGAGGGGTCTTCAGTTGCATTAAGTATCGAACTCACGATATCACTAAAGCCAGAAGGGCTGGGAGACCCAATGAGTTCCACGCACTCATTTTAGCCAATGAATCTTCAGTCTTGTTGACTGTAAGGCTAACATAAGAAAGTATCCACAATAGATGAATGTCTGAGAATAAAAAAAAAGCTGATTAAGCTTATTTAATAGAGCCACTCCTGTATTGTTCCGCATTATGCATCAGTTACTTAAATGTTGATTAGAATTTATTTGAAATGATGGAAATTTTTAGGAGGCCATATATTATTTAAAAATATTAACGCAGACAATTTTTTTATCTTAAAAACCACAACATTTTATTCATTTCATACTATTAGTTCACACTTTCCCTATATATATATATATATATATATATATATATATATATATATATATATATATATATATATATATATATATATATATATATATATATATATATATATATATATATATATCCTGTTCAAATTTTCAATCGTAAATTAAAATACTTTCTATACATCCATTTAAGATCATTTTTTTAAAAAAAACATAAAGTGATTGACAATGAAGCCCAGTGGCTGAGTGGTTAGTGCATCTGCGGAACATCTGCTCATGCACCTCAGGGCCCAAGGTCACGTACACTGAGTTGGGGACAGAAGGCCTTGACCCTCTGGCTTTTGAGCCACTGAGTTAAATTCAGTGGGTGACACTTGATGTTACTTCAGTTTTTTTCAACTATTAATTCATCAATTAAATTTAAAAATGAATAAATAGTAACAAACAAAAATAATACTCCAACACCCTATATGGAAAAGAAAAATGTTCGTTGTGTCCCTGTAGTGCAATGGATAGCGCAATGGACTTCTAATCCAAAGGTCGTGGGTTAGAATCCCACCTGGGATGGCCTAATTTCTGAGAATGTGATTTCTTTTTCACTATACTATTTTATTAGAATAACTAAATTTAATTAATGAATAAGTAGTAACTAGGGGAAAAAATATTCCAACACGGTACATAGAAAGGAAAATGGAAAATTGCAAGGAAAATCGCTTTCTATTTTGTCACTTAATATTGTGATTCAGTTTTATGTATATAAATATTTATATTAATTGTAACTATTTAATAAAAAATAACTAAAATAAAATATTTCATTGTTGACCTAAGTGGGAAGTAACTTTAAAAAGAAAGTTATATTACTATATAGTTTCATCTTAAAATCCACCATTTAATTTTCTTAGATAGTTTTATCCTTTGTTTAAAAAAGAGGCTTCTTAAGGATGTTTAACTCTTCGGTTTTCTTCCTCAACAAATGACTTTTCTCTTCAAAGCGATTTTCTTACTAAATCCTAAAAGTTGTATACTTAAAACTCCCACAGCATTCGGTTTAATATAACTAGACTACAAAGCTACTTTTTCGCGCGCTTTTTGATAGAGAACAAAACATTTCTAACAAATTCTTTTTATTCTCTATTCAAGCCAACGCATATCAATTGAGTGGCGAAAAATCAGAATTCACAAAATCATTTTTGTACTTTTGTAACTTTTTAAATCTAGATTTCTGAACTCAGTTAGACTTGAAAGCGAATACTGTTGTTTAAAATGAGCAAAAAATTACTTCTCACAGACAAAGAGATTATTTTATGCGAATTCGCTTTCGAAAGCATGAAGCGACGTCGTACCAGAAAAAAAAAATATTTATAGTGGAAATATAATGAGTGAAAGAAAATGCTCTCCGTTTAGTTTAAAAATAAAAATAAATTTAAATCTAGTAGAACATTATATATATATATTTGTTTGGAAGCCTCTTGACGGTGTAAGAAAAATTGGATGTAGTTCTTAACATTATTAAGTTGCTAATGATAGCAACATTACGCACTTGTTTTTTGTAACTAAAATAGAATAAATTGTATTTTCCGCTTTGTAGAGTAGAGTTGTTCCAAAGCTCTAGTTTCGCTAATTTGGATGAAACATTATGAGATTCAAAGAAAGGAAAAAAACCTTTTTGCATTAAGATATCAGTTTCTAACGGGAAAGAATTTGTTTTTGGGAGACAAAAAGAGATAATGATCGTGACGTTTTAATTTTTGAAAAAGAAAACTTGAAGTGGATGGAAAAACACTTAAAAGAGCACTAGAGCATGTTTTAGTATTTTTAATGATAACTCCATTTTTATACTTAAGAATTCCTCCATGTTTAAACCTTAAGTAGCTCTTAATTGTTAGATAATACAACTTGATACATAAATAAAAAATATACAAAGAAAGTTTGAAGAAAAATGTTGTTTTCTTGTATTTTCACAAATTTGCGCAGTTTCTATGTACGCAGTTTTTTGGCAAACTTAAATTAAAATATATCACATGATTCAAAATTGATTCTGAGCTAATATTCAAAACTAATAATACTCTTTTGGGTTATTATATATATATATATATATATATATATATATATATATATATATATATATATATATATATATATATATATATATATATATGGATGGATGTTTGTATATATGAAATCGTATTACTCCAACACGGCTCAACAGATCTCTATGAAAATTAGCATGTATATGCATAATTTTGTGGAAGGTTCTTGTGCTATTCTCTTTGTTCTAGATCCCAAACAGGTGGCGCTACAGCATTTCAACTTTTGCACTGTTCAATCAATCGCCAAGTTGCCAATAGGGTTGCCAAAAATGATGTCATCTTGACTCTATCGCCAACACATTTCGCTATGTTTCTACTGAGTCGTCATTATAATGTAAGGAACTACGTTGCTTACAAATATTACAAATTTAATATAAAATAAATGCAACATAAAGTAATATTCATGTATTACACACACATCCAGATATAAATTATTTACACTATTTTAAGCGTTCATTACACAAAATGTTTAACGATGTGTTACTTTTGTTGAACAAAAATCAGCTTAGCAAGGTCCCACGAGAGTTACGGGGCGTTATAAATAAAAAAATCTTTTTTATTAACTTTTAAATCTACAGACCTAAAATTTAACAAATATTGTGTTTTGTTCAACTGATATTGCAAAAAGCTTTTTTTTGTTTAATTTGCAATTTACGTAAAAATAACTCATTAAGAACTTTATCCTTATATCTGTATTATTTAATTTTTTAATTCACCCATGCGAAGACCGGCAATACCAGCTAGTAATAGTAATAAAAGGATTAAATTATGCAAATGCCTATATATGTTGGTGGGCTTAAGGAAGGGGACCCAACTCCAGTACCGGTAAGAATGATCAAATGGTACCCGGTTGACAAAGGAACATTAAACTAGTTCCATTTTATTTGCTGTGATATATTTATCTCGGATTTGTGTGACTTTCCGAGGAAATCACTTTATATTCCATGTTAAATAACTTTTTATTCCATGTAATTATCCAACGTGTGTGCTTGGTCACCGAGCACCTACAGACGGCGGCGTCAGTCGGATATTTATTTGTTCCAGTGGGTTGAAACAGGTGGTCACCATCCATCCTCGTCACATGCTGCCTGGCAATCATACCTCGTCTGCAACCACCAGTTGAGGTATACTTCCAAAAACTTATGTCCGATGGTTAAGCAAAAGCGAGCAAAACCACCTCGGCTATCGCCAAGTGCATCGGGATAGGACCCACAGTGGCCAGGGTTTCCCATGGCTTTCCAGGCTCTTGATTTTTTGGGGCACGGAAGTACATTTGTCAATGTATATGGATATAATGTTCTTTGTGCTACTGAGATTCAAGGGATTTTCCGGTTGAAACCACTCGGCTCCCTGGTCGACTCTCTCATTGCCGAGAATCCCAACATGACTTGGGACCCACTGTAAGGCCGCAGTCCAGCCATATGAAGTGAGCTCCACAATTTTAGTTCGACACAGTTTTGTTAAGGCAGTCAGCCGGTGTATTACTGCTTAAGGCTAAAATTGCAGCTTGGGAGTTGATGAAGAAGACAACTTTTGGAAGAAGGGCGTTGTAGCTCCATATATAGCCAAGACCTCATTATCGAAATTGGTAACGTTTTTCCCACGGCCATTAAGTCCTCAAAACACCTTCAGAACCATCCCACGCGTTGACTCCGTTTAATATATATTTCATGTTAAATCTTTTTAAATCATTTTTAATGTAACTGTGTTACATACTGAAAGAGTATTAAAATGCTCTTAATATAAAATTATTAATTCAAAAAAATCTAAAACATAAACATTCGAAATCTTTCCCTCAGCGGGCCGCGGTACAATTATCAAACGTTGACCCGTCCGCGGTTATAAAAGGTTGGGGAGCGCTGGCTTACATCTACGTTAGGTATCGTGATTTTTCAAAAAAGCGTATAAATAAATATCTTTTATTTTTATTTATTTATTTTGCTTAATATTCAGTGGCACTTGAATTAAAATACAGGTATAAAATTGTTTTAAAAATAATTTAAGTATAAAAACTATTTAAGTGAAATTTTTTGGCAGAAAATAAAAAAAAAAATTATGGATTTTCAAAACATTTTCTTTTATGAAAAATGTTTCTACATTAAACATAATTTACGTCTTTATATTTTTTATTTCAAAAGGTTCTGTAGAGCCTTTTGAAAAAATTCACATTATTTTCAGTTGCTATCAATGGACATAACTTATAACCGGTGTGTGTGTGTTGAAAATTATAACATATATAATTTCATATATTACTAAGATAATGGATTGGATTGATTTAATAGATTCGCCAATACAAGTGATAATATATTTTTATATGAGTGTTATCACATGCAATACACTTCGATTTGAAAAGTGGTCTGGAGCAAAAAGTTTATTGGTGTGTGTGTTAAAATTCATTTACTCTGATATATTAAAATATGAATAAATCAACTCCTATATCGTATATTCCAAAAATCTTAGTTGAGGGTCTGTGCAGAAGTTTTAGCTATATATAGACAAAACATTAATAAGGAATTATTTTTCATTATAGGTAAATGTTTTGAAAATATGTATTTTTTTTTTCATTTTTTGTCAAAAAATCACCTTGAAATAAATTTTTCTTGGAATTAAACTTTTTACAGCAATTTTATACATATATTCTAATTCGAGTGACACAAAAAAACATATTATTCAATAATACGCTTTTAAAAGGGGACATAGTACGAATTACACAAACATTTTTAATTTAAGGATTTTCAAAAAACATTTTGTTGCCTTCTACGTATGTATACTATATAAAACAGATTTTGTGCACGAATTTTCATAAAAAGCTAGCCATTTAATTTCTTAAGACAGTGTTTCTCAAAGTGTGGGGCGCGCCCCCCTGGGGGGGCGCGATAACCCTACAAGGGGGGCGCGAGCGTATCGAAAATTTAAAGATTTTTTTTAAAAAAAACAACCGGAAAGAGAAGTAAAACAAAATGCTTTCTTCCATAATAAAAAAAAATACACACAACAACACACTGACATAATTTATATTTATTATCTAGCTTTTTTCCGTCATCAAATAGCTATCTTTGATCCCAAAACCAAATTAAAGAAAAAAAACATTTTGTTTTATTTGCTGTTTTTCCTCAATGAGAGATTTTTTTATTACGTTTTAACATAAAATATTACTCGTTAAAAGAAAAACGAAACCCAGACCCTGAGAAAAATTCTAAGAAGATAAACAATTCACCGCTGTAATTATTATTGAAATACTGTACATTAGTTGTAGAAAAAGAAAAGGAAGTCATGATTCACTTTTCAGCCAGGCTGCATAGTACGTTCAGTTCAGTTCAGGTTTTGTGGGATATGGAGCAACACAAAGGCTATATATGATCCCCTAAAAGACAGATGTTTCTTAAAAATTAGTAGATGTCAAAATATTTCAGTTTCTGGATAAAAAATCTGAATGTTAATTTGACCTTCAATCTTATGGTATGGTTATTATTGTAA